AAAAAAAAAAGTCCCACTGATTTCTTTATTTCAAAGGGCTGTGTATTTGTTTAATCAGTCTTAAATGCTCTTTCGAACAACATTAAATCATTCTGGCTCTCTATAGTATTATTTTTTATATACAAGACCTTTAAACATTTAAATTAATATTTGCATGTAGTCCTATATTACACCTTGTAAATGTATGTCTTAGATTTAAGTTGCCTTTTTACTTTTGGTATGAGTACAGAATTTAACCGCAATATTTTGTCTTTTATTATCAAAGTATTTGTACGTGCTTCTGTCTTGTCCCCCACCTCCCCCTTCTTACAATAAATAAAGAAAAAAAGCGTTTGTGTTGCATGTGATCTTCTGACATTAAATAATGGCTGGTGTTAAAATTGTATTTAAGACATTTGAACTGACATCTGAAATCTTTGTGCACAAAATACTCATAACCAGATGCTGTCTATAAGGGAGCTCAGTATTTTTAGCCATGCTAGCAGCCTGGCTCTAGGGATGGCAATATGCAAGTGAAAATTAGATTGTATGAATCTGGAAAATTATTTGAACACACCGGTGCGAGTGACTCTGACTTCAAACTGGGAATGTCCCCGAGGACCCGGTTCCTAACTGGAACTGGTCCAAAACTATTAAAAACCCAGGGTCATTTTAAGGAATGTCTTTTTTTATTTAGATTTTATATTTGCTTACAGGGTATTATTGAGTGACTTTACTGATGAAAACATTGCTGTTACTTATATATATTCTAAAAATATAAGATATATAAATTATATCCTGTTCTGAATGTATTTCTTTATTAATTGCCTTCCTTAATTTCCTTTTTGAGATAATATTTGAAATAATATTAACAATAATAATAAACTATTTCTTTTCCTAATAAAAGTTTCAAGTTTTCACTACAAGTAACTTAAAAACACAGGCACAGAAATAGATCCACTGAGAGGTTTGAAAGGATTCACATTAAAGTACTCCATGCTGTTTGATGAGGCGTCCCTGTCCTTTGTTAGGTCCCAACTTGTTGTGTCTTATGCATACTGTATGCTTTCATTGTTTTAAAAAACTCTATTAATTTAATAAACTTTTTTAGGTTGATGGCACTAGAGCCCCTGAAGGTCTGTTGGTAACTATTAACTGAACTGCCATAACATTTTGTACAAACATTCACGCCCCCCAGAGGATGAATCCTAATGACTTTGTGGACCTTCTGACTTTTGTTTTAGCAGCTTTTACCAATTGGGACCAAAAACCGTAAAATTAAAGTACAGTCCCAACAGCCTCAGTTGTATTTTAGTGCTGGTTAGTAAATGTTACCATGCTCACAGCTTAGTATACCAACTAAACATCAACATGTTACCATTGTCATTATGAGCATGTTAGCATTTAGCTTAAAGAACCATTGCTCCTGAATACCATCACAGAGCTGCTAGTTTGACCACAGACGAACAGTCGTGTTTAAATAGTTCCAGTGTGTATATTTTAATGCTTTGTGGATCATCAGCAGGCTTAAGGCATTGCTCTGTCTTCATACATATACATCACACAATCCACAGTTAGTAATAAATACAGTACAGGTAAAGAGGAAGCAAATATCTGTCCTAACCAACAGGACTCCTGTCTCATATAACCCGACAGGGAGACAGTAGAGGGGCACATTCACAACACACACACACACACAGGTTCATAAAAAAAACTTTGCTTGGCACAATGGAATTACTTGCACCACATTGCAACCGTACAGTTTCAGTTGAGGAACACAAACACTCACAAAACCTATTGCAGAGACTTTGCATACTTTGCTAATGTATCTTTTCACTACTCATTTTCACCCCTCCCCAACCACTGCTCCATTGGTTTTGTCTATAAAGGCAATTACAACACATTATAAGTTTACATTGTACATATCTAGCAATGTCTGCTCATACGGCAGGACACTGGCACAGATAGGCACATAGGTCCATGTGTAAAAGGTAAGAGGCCAGTCGGGCAGGCTGATTTCTGGTCCGTGAAATGCTTCTATTTAGTGTCCGTCTGTAAAATATTCGTTTTTTAACACTCGTCTCATGTTCCCTGATCCAACGCTGTCTGGTTTTGTGTATCAGCTGTACATTTTCATCATTGGTAAATAGAAGCTCCCGGGGCTACTAGTATCACAGATTTAGCACTTTTAAAATCATTTTTTTTAAAATCACAATAATGCGGTTTCAAAATTAAATATCACTCTAGCATGAGAGAATTCAAGGCATCTATATGTTTTTCAAGCAGGTTTTTACATTGTACGTCTGTCACTCCAGTCGCGTCAGCTCTGCACAAAACAATTGGAAAGACTTCAGATGGAGAGCGACCACATGCACGCATGCGCAGCAGATCCCCTCAGTTCATGTTGCTCAGCTGACTGTAGACGTGCTCTAAGATCTGAGAGTAGGCCTGGTCTTTGGGAGCATGGCAACTCAGAGAGCCCTGAGGAAGAAGACAGAAAGTTAGGTCAGCTCGGTCCTGAAAGAGTGAGAATGCCAGGATCATCACCTAATAAAGATTCCAGGGTTCATCCCACCTTGATCTTGTCCATCATGGTCGTATCAGGACACCAGTACTGGCTGAACTGGACGAGGTCGGGAGCTGCCCTGTAGTAGTCAACCAGGAGCATCTGTGGAGGAGATAAACAGACTTTCTTTATAACAATTTACAGTATTTACAATGCAAACTTCTCTGCAGTATTTGAATAGGACTGAGCCTGCAGTATCAGTACCATCTCATTAAGAACATCACTGGTGAGGAAGTTGTCCTGTACGTAGGTGACCTCTACAGCAACTGGGATGCCGTAGTCATTAGGCCGTTGCTGCAGGAAGGCAGATGATGCATGAGTTGAGCTGAAGTGTGTCTGTCTAAATAACATTATCTGAAAAGACTGAACCAAGTAACAAATAACTACGAAACAAGAAGGTGAGTAGTTTTAATTCT